CTGGCTTTAATTGAAGACAGGACAGCAGACATATCTCAAGAGGATGTGGTATTGTGTACGGTTTTGTTTATAAATACACTGTGTTGGGTTGTGTCTCCATTCACAAGAAGAACAGCAGTATTGTGTTTGTTATCTGATTCACTGTGAAACAAGCTGAGGGAATGCCATTCAGAAAAGAGCTTCGGTGTGTATTAATATTCGTGTCTAGTATATATACTACCTATGAAAAAAACATTGTATACATTTGATCTAGTTGTCTAAATCACATAGATTCACATCTCTTTTTACCTAGCTCATAGTTTTCTAAACTTTGGATGTCAAGTGACAAAATACATTATTTATGTGCATGGGCTAGGTCATTGTGCACCTGTGTGTGTGAACAACGTATGTGAACTACATACAACACGTGACCAAATTAGTTATTTGGCTGCGCTCGTTTTATTTGGCTGTATTGTATTTATCGCTCCAAAGTTCTGACAGACAGAAGGTCTATTGACAGACGTGTCAGATCGTTGTTGGTTCTTTCACTGGATTGTATTTAACAATCAAATCAAGCTTCTAAATCAAACCGGCAAGTTCTCCGTGCCCAAAGAAAAGGCGGTGCGGTTAGACCACAGACACCCTCATCACACATACTGCTACAGAGCTCCAACACTCCCTCACATACAGGACAGCTTGTTGCAGTTCCGGGAAGCCTCCTAAATGTCCACGGCCCCTTGAGTGCCTTTTATTTTTCATGTGCTTATCAGAAATGTTTTCGGAGTAATAGCTGAGGGAGCTAGTTGGCTCCAAAGTCCAATATTTTAAGAGTTTAGGTGCGGATGCCTCGTGGACTCACAGTAACTCTGACGCAGCGGTGATGTCACAGTAAAGTCAACTAAATTGCTATGACAAATAGGAAAATTACTACACATGACTATGAAACAGATGAAATAGCCCACATTCCTTCAATCAGCAGCTGGACAAACAGCCTGTAACTGACTCTTGAACTACAGCACTTTAAAAAATGAACACAAGTGAAAATAAACCTTTTCTGGAAAGAACATCTAATAGAGAAAATAACTGATTCTCAGTTATGCAAGTGTGTGTGTGTGTGTGTGTGTTAGTGACATGTGGGATGTATGTTGAGAGCTGAATGTGTGACAGTGTTGTGAATGTAGAGCAAATTTAAATCAGTGCAAGGAATGTGCCACGGCACCGTCAGCTGCCTCCTCACTTAGGAGATTAGACCAACACGATTAATGGTCGGTCAGTCGACCTGCAGCTCCACTTTGACTCCACTAGGTGGCACCGATCTTGTGACATATGCAGTTGGGTGGATAGGTGATCTTGGGTCACTTTATGCTGATAGTCTGCAGTGAAACTCACTCACTGTGAAGGCCCAGTCACACAGATTGTATCGTATATCATACTGAATTTATTTAGCATTAGTTACGAGATCTTCTTAAATGCCTTAGTTTCTGTCCAGTGTGTTCCAACACTTAAGTCAAAGAACAATAAGCACACCTGCCATACAGGCGAGTACAGTAATAAAGAGAAAGATTTAAAAAATAGAAGTAAAAAGAAGTGGCATATCAATAATAAAATAAGTCACATATCAAGCCTCTACTGCACTTTACAAAGCCATTTTACCCTCTTATGAGGTTAATGCAGTATCTCAGTTATTATAAACACAATATCCTGGTTTATTCCCGTAGAAGCTCTTATGCCCGTTCTGAGACATCTGGATATGCTCGCTAGAGTACTGAGTAGAAATCAGGAAACTGTGACATGTAAACACCTTATCCAGGTTTCTCTGAGTCATCAACTCCAGTTACATAGTAGTTAATCATTAAAACAAAAACATGATAGTATATTATTTAATGATGACCAATGAACATGAATAAAGAGCAATGATGAAAATGAAACCACCAGAAACATGATGCAACAGAGACATGATCAAAACCAGGATGAGACTCAGACCCGGTATACTAATGTGCATGTAAATGTGCTTGTTGTTCATGCCTCTAACTTAAGATGTGGACTTCAGGTCATACAAAGCTAGAAAGAGCTGCATTATTGAATGTTGTTCATTCTGTACACAGGACATCTGTTGCACTTCTGTCCATCCTGGAAGAGGGATCCCTCATCTGTTGCTCTCCCTAAGGTTTCGTCCTTTTTTCTCCTGTTGGGGGGGGGGGGGGGGGT